AGAATACGTGCTTCTTTTGTGGTTCGGACTCCTGACATTTCTTTGGAGGTGGAGGAACATCACAGTAATTGCTTAAAGGAGCTTGCTTCTTCGACATCTTTAAGAGTTCTAAACAAATGTCTGTCCTCCTCCTGAAAATCTTATGTACGCAAACACGCGTTGCAACTTCTTATCTAGTGCGTGTTTTTTATTTTGACAGCGAATGCGCACCTGCGGACCACTTAATTGCAGCCCTTGTTATTTAGCTCGTCATATTGTAGCCACAGAAATTCTGTTGTCCATGAAACCATAAAGCTGCACTTTCTTTTTGCCTTATAGTCTGATTTGTCATAACTTTTCCGTTTTGTGGTAAGCTTTTCTTTGGCTGTCACTTCTTCACCCTGACCTGTCTTATTTGGCTCAGCAGAACTAAAATATATATCCTGCTGCTTTTACAGATGCACTCACATAAGCTCAGCGATTCTCTGCGCGATCAACCTCTCACATGTTTAAGCTTGCTGCGGGAGATTTCACTTGTCATGTTTGCATAGTAAGCTAATGATTGATGAGACGATGTCAGAGGAATTGGTGAGCAAATTATCGTCACTCACCAATCAGTGCTGTCGCTCTCTATACACAGTTCGTGCGATTGCAAAGTGAAAGCAAAAAACAAGTGCAAATTCAAACGCGATTTCAATATGTCACATATTGACAGTGGCTCACAGATGCCAATGACATAATTACCCAGCTACATTTCCAAAAGAATGCAAAAGCATTGACATATATTTTTCCTTCCTACGATAGGCCGACGGGCAGGGCAGAGATAGATTTTGGTAGCCCGACTGGAAAAATCGCTAGTCCCGGGACGTCGGGCAGGCAATTTTGCAAGCCCTGTATCTGATTGAGGAATCACTGATCTTTGGAAAAGAGAGTTTATTACAGAGAAATGGCTCTTTCCAAAATAAAAGCTATACTATACGCTTCTTCTGGGCTATATTCTCAGCAGCATATTAAACATATCAGGTCCCCATAAGGAGAATCATGTGCTAACGGCTGTCTAAATGACTCAAGTTTGTAGCATGCGTGCTTGTTGTTTTTGTCTGCTTCCACTTGTCTTTGCACTAGGATGATGTCGGCGTAAATGTGCAGTCATATTCGTTGTGTTCCCACTAGTGCTGTCAGCGTAAATCTTGTTGAAATGACGTTAACGCCACAACACGGCAAATCTCCATTAACGAGCTACCGCGGATCGCCCGTGCATGGGGCTGGACGGCCAACACGTTAATGAGCTAACTGCACTAACGCACTAGTTCCCACCCATGTAATTGAGCATTGCGTGGTACATCCAACATACTGTTTTACTTTAGTCCATGACACGCTTACCTTCAGGGTCATACGTCACATGAAAACCAAAATAGTTCCAAACGCCAGATCTGAATGAGGGTGGGGGAGGTTCAATTTGCCATTTTGCAAGGAGAGCTTAACTTCTGTCTCGCTAGCTTGCCCTGCGCTCAGTGAATCTGCGTTCGACTACTCTGCCTAGGCTGCACTGTCGAGCGCAGATCCACTGAGCGCTCAACACAGACAGCATCGTCAGAAGGAAAGTTGATAAAATAAATAAAAAAATTTGTAATGTTCGATACATATGCGTACCGAACCGAAAGCACTGTATCGAACGGTTCAATATCGATACGATTATCGTTGCACCCCTACTATTTAGCGTTAGCTGGTTAACAAGGAATGTTCCAGATTTATAACCATGTTCAAAGTTCCCCAATCACAGCCTTTGCATCAGAAATTTTGTTCTCTCATTAATTATTTCATTTAATTGTAGTTTTAATTTTAAAATATTGCAAACTTTCCAGGTCTTCTTCACATTCCTACAGAGTGCTGAAGTTTTGAAATGTATCATTAATTCTTATTTTTAATACCTTTTAAGTTGTCAAAGAGTAAATTGGCAGAGAGTTAGTAATTAAAATGCAATTTAGTAGCACGCTGTGTTCAACGCTGCTGATATATTTTTCGTCTCATCTCTACAGCATAGCTCTACTCACTTACCTTCCACTCCTCACCCCAATAAGTGAACAAAGCTGACCAAGTCGGTCAGAAGCAGCTATACCTATGGCTGCATCGGAGCTCTACACTGTAAAAACTGTGATTTGGGTTAATTAGTATCTAATAGGAAAGTAATAGTAACTATTAATCAGTAAAAACATGTATGTGTTGTTTTAATTAAATCTAAGAAAAATTAAACATTTTTGAGATGTTCAGTTATTTAAATTTACACAATTTTGTTTGGGGTAAATTAAGCAATAGTTTGTTGAGCAGATTAAACAAAAATGTATGAGTACCGTGAAAAATGAAGAAATCTAATAGATTTAACTAATGAAAGCATTTTCATTTCAATCATTCTACACTTCTGCCTGTAGTCTGTTGTGCCACATGCAGGACACACACGCTTCAGCAGTGGATGATCTCCATTTTGTCCGAGGTAAGATTATCTGAATTTGTACGAATATACGACACGTTTTAAACAATAACGTATAGCAGTTTTGAGTAAAAGTTCTAAACAGTATGATACGTCAAAATTAGATTAATAATGACCACTGTAATAACAGTATTGTATTTTTACACAAAATGGCACGAAGTGGACTGCTAGCATAAGGTCACTTTCCAAGCTTTCGCAGCTGTGTTACTTAAGAGCTTTGACTAACCACGTTTTACCATATTAAAAAAATATATCAATTATGTATTTCGATGGGCTGTAACCTCCCTCATTTACTTTTAAAATTTTATGAAAAAGGTTTGCACTCAGCAGTGAGTGATGTAATTAAAATCATTTGTGCGGGATTTTGTCAGTCACGGTTTTTCAAAGCTTTTGTCTCCACGCAGTGTTTTTCAGTTGCGGTAATTAAGCTAAAGTGGCTCAGTCCAGCAAAATAACTGGTTTTCATTTTCATGCTGTCGGAGCCCTGTGAATTTAGTGCAGGCACAGCTCACATAGAGGGATAATGCAAGTTTCCAGTTAAACTTGGTCGGTGTATCAGTGAGACCCATGCTCAGTCACAATGTAACGATCTTCAAGACAAAGGTACATTCAGGAAATAATATAGTAATACGTGTTTAATCTGACATAAGTCTTTCATAATTTCTATGTTTAACACCCAATGGTGTTTGGATACAGAGATGACCTTGTGTAGATTAAAAGGACATCTTTTCAAATATGGGAAGATATATACGTATATAAATACACAAATAGTGTTATTTCATGTCATGATCTGTCACCAAATCGGTACAGAAAATAGAGTCTATTCCCTTTTTAATCTAATAAAGAGTTTCATTGTTTTATATGTGAACCTCACCTTTAAAAATTTTAGTATTAATTCAAATTTGTCTTTAACAATTTGTGTGTGTAAAATTTTTACTTTGGAGAGTGTGATTGTTATTAATGTTGTGTTCTTTTTAGTTGTTGGAAGATCCCTCAACTTAAATTCAGCTGATCAGTATGTAGACTATGCATTTTGAATAGGTTTTGATGGATGATTGTATTGAATTAAACTACTAGTTTTGAAATTGAAGCAGCAGAAAATGACAAAGTTGACCCTACTAAATCTAACTTAACTCTGTCCATTTACATTTTATTCTAGGTTGAACGAGATAAAGCTCCATGTAATCACTGATGACCAAACGGAGAAGTTGGTTCTTCCATCAGGGATCCCACCAACAGTAGAGGAGCTGCAAGGTGTTGTGAAGGATACCGTTGGGATTTCAAACAACTTAAGTCTTCAGTATTTTAAACCAAAATTTCAGGACTACTTCACTATTCGCAGAAGTGACCAGATAAAAGACAAAGACACTGTGAAGGTTGTTGGCATCACCCTGGTCATCCTGCCAGTTTTCGGCAGCCCCTCTGATCAACTGACTATGACTCATCATCCAATCCAGTTGTATCCAATGCAGACTCTGCTGCAACCACATCTTCTCAGGACACCATTATTCTCAAAAGGCAGAAGTTCACAGAACGTTGTGAGCCCTGGCCAAAGCTGTTCCCCATTCCACAGTCTGCACATGAAACTGAAATGTAACTGGAAAGAGCCACCGAGGAGTATAAAAAGAATGGAAATCTTCTGCCCACCTCCAAAGTAAAGACTGACATTCTCGAGAAGTTGGCTGAAACTGTATTTTCAATTATGGCCTATTCTTCCTATTATTTTGGGGCAAGCACTAGTGAAGAATTTCAGTGCATACAATCTAAATTAATCAGAAAAATATTATATTATAAATTTTATATATGTTTTAAATTCCACAATAAAAACAATTACTGTTTGAATGTTGTCTTTGCGAAATTGATTCATTTTACTCAGAAAAGAAGTTAAATTAATTTGATTTTCTCTTACTATTCAGTCATTAATTATAATGTTTAATTGGAAAATTAGTGAATCCAATTAGAGTTTTAATTAAAAACAAAAAGTTTTAATTTTTTTGTAATGGATATTTTAGTCATTTTTACTAAACCTTTGCCAGATCGTTAGTAAATTCAAAGTAATTTTTCTCAGAGATTCATTTCAAATGAACTAATTTTTTGTTACAATTAGGCAATTTTAACCTTCAATTTGAGATTTTGTCCCTAAATTCAACACATATTTAAAAGACAATGTCAATAATATCTATTATTGTTTTTTGTTGAAATTTAATTAACATTTTATCTAAATTTTACATAAATCACTTGAAATTAAAATCTACTTAAGTAAATTAAGTGTCACTTTGTTGCCATAGGTTTTTTAAGTAACCTCTTGTCACAGTTTTTACAGTGTAGTTCCTCTTATAGTATATTTAGTTTTTTGTATTCAGACAGACAAACTTCAGATGGTTAATGAACTCGAGGAGTAATGGTGGACAAGCAGAGGAAGACAGCCATAGATGTAGCTATAACAAGTGTCAGCAACATCAGCTGGAAGGAAGGCGAGAAGCTCAAGAAATAACAAGGGCGGAGAGAGCGGCTAGATCAGGAATATACTCACAACTCTCCAGCTGCATCTTGCATAGCTGTGTGTCCATTGGGAAAAGCGTAAGATCCAAGGGACAAGACAGTGTCACCGACAGCCTGCATGTGTAAACGGAAAACACACAACAGGCTCAACAGGACAAAGAAAAAATTGCCCTATTACTGTATAATCCTTTTTTAAAAATAAGTTAATTTACCAGCTTTTTATGTTAACAACACATCCTAAACTCTTTCTTACTTATTCCAGAGATATGTAGAGCGAGATAGCAAAATTACAATTCTATGAAAAATAATATTTAATATGTTATCTAATAATAACACAAATAAAACATAACATTTTACACAAGTTGTTAGGTGGAAATTTTCTCAAGTATGAAGAAAAATGTCCTCATGTGTTGCTCTGCCCCTCTTTCCCCTCCACTTTGTGTTCGAACATCCATACTGCCTAAACAAATTTCACAAAAAAACAAAGGTTCTTAGAGTTTTAATTAAAACTTAAAACTTAAAATTAAATTAAAGCTTAATAGCTTATTAATAGCTATTAATATCAATAAACACATACAAAAATTGACTTTTGAACAAAAATGTTCTATGGAGAGATTCGTTTTGTAAAGGAAATTACATTGTGATTTTTATCAGTGCTAAAACATTTTGTGGCTTGTAAAAAATTCCCCTCTCTCACAGTATTCATCCTTCAAACTCGGGTCCTCTACCAGATGCCTGGGAGCTTGAGGGTCCTGCTCAGTATCTTAGCTGTTCCTCGGACTCCACTCTTCTGGACAGAGATCTCAGATTTTATTCCTGGGATCTGCTGGAGCCAGTCGCCTAGCTTGGGGGTCATTGAGTGCTGCAATTACCACTGGGACTACTGTTACCTTCATCCTCCACATCTTGTTGAGCTCTTCTCTGAGCCCTTGGTATTTCTCCAGCTTCTCGTGTTTCTTCTTCCTGATGTTGCTGTCATTTGGTATCACTTCATCTATCACTACAGCCGTCTTCCTCTGCTTGTCCACCACTACTATAACTAGTTGGATAGCCATCCCATTTTGTCCGTCTGTATCTGGAAGTCCCACAGGATCTTAGCACAGTCATTCTCTACCACCCTTGACCTCTCCCATTTTGACCCCGGGACTTCCAGGTCATAGTCGACACAGATGTTTCTGTATACTATGCCGGCCACTTGGTTGTGGTGTTCCATGTATGCCCTGCCTGCCAGCATCTTGCACCATATGTGCTGGATTGTCTCAGGGGCATCTTTACACAGTTTGCACTTGGGGTCTTGCCTGGTGTGGTAGATGGGTCTTGTGGTCAGAGCTTGTTTTTGTGCTGCCATGATTAGTGCCTCTATGCTATCTTTCAGTCCAGCTTTATCCAGTCACCGGTAGGACTTCTGGATGTCAGCCGCTTCCTCTATCTGCCGGTGGTACATACCGTGCAGGGGCTTGTTCTTTTATGATGGTTCCTCCTCTTCCTCGGGTTTCTGCTGCCTGAGGTATTCACTGAGCACACGGTCGGTTGGGGCCATCTTCCTGATGTACTCATGGATGTGCATTGTCTCATCCTGGACCGTGGTACTGACACTCACCAGTCCCTGGTGCCTGACCCTCTGTGGGTTCTGGGTGGATGGGACTGGCCCCACATGGTGCTGAGGCAGGTTATTGGTCCGTAGCTGGAGGGGACCTGGGGGTCCCTGGGGATCAGAACTGTCTGGCCTTAAGTTAGCCATTCTGGGTGTCTCTCATTTACTAGCAGCTGGTTCATTTATGCTGCAAGACACGCATGCAGTGCAGTCAGCTTCTTCAGTCAGTAGGCATGAACCATGTCAGGACCTATTGCTGACCAACTCTTATCTCTCTAGTGTACCTCTTCAAGCAGCTGACCAAGGCTGTGAGTCTTTGCTTGACAGTTTCCAAGGCCTCAGATATGGACAGCTTGCTGTACTTCTTAAGCACCTTCTTCACTGCCCATTTGTGCAGCTCCGATAGTTGGCTTACTTCCCTCCATGCTACCTTGATCTTAGCCTCTAGTCATCTTCTCCATGGAGGGTACTGCTCCTTGTGGCTGCTCAACTTGTAGCCAAGCATCTCACTGATTACTGCTGCCGTAGTGTAGATCAACTTGTTAGTCTCTGTAATGGCGGCGGTAGGTATAGTCAGTAGTGCTGCATTTACATCATCTAGTAGACCTTCAGAGGGCACCTCACATAATCTTGGTAACCGGCTACAGTAGCGAGCTCCTCTCGCACTCAACGATCCTTCTTCCATCACAGTTGGGGCTTTGTACTCAATCCCGGGTGGGGGTGAAGATATCTCCCCCCTGACCTGTCATCTGTGATTTATATTTACAGAGACAATACTCCACAGCATGTGCTCCTATATTAGAAACATACTATAACCCTGCAGTTACACACATGTTGTCAGCACACTGACAACATGTGTGTAGTGCTATACTATTCAATGAAGCCTAATCACTCTTTTTCCCAAATGTGAGAAAAATAAAATATTCATATTTTGCATGATCTAATTTAAATTCAAAAAACCTGTCACATTGATAGATGCCTCTGATTTTAAGCCTCTAGCTGTCAGTTACTAATACTTGTCACCTACCATTTGACAATTTTATAGGCTATGCCAGACCATATATTGCCACCACTGTTCTTAATAGTGATGCATGTGAATTATTTAATGCTACAACAGTGCCACTGTTACTGTTCTAATCCCTCAAAATAGAAATGGTTCTGATTTTTTACATAAATTTTTTTTACATCTTATTCTTTATGAAAGCAAGAGCAAGTTAAGAACCAATGTAAAAACAGAATTCAAAACTAGGTCTGCCTAACATTTCATATAAGCTCAACAAAGAAAAGGCTTATGTGCTCCCTGAGCACATAGGCCTTTTCTTTGTTGATATATCACCATATAATACCTAAAAGTTAACCAATTTTTTCTAAAAACAGCTTAGAGTCACTGAAAAAAAGACAAGATTAAAGTCACTTCTATGAATCAATAATTTCTCCATGACCCTCAGAGAAAGACAAAAACTTTAAACTGTCTCTAAAGTCTGCAGACTCTGCTACAAACTGAGGTCAGTGGGCTTTTCTGAAAATTATAACTTTATTTTCCAGACAACTGATTAGTTCTGCATGTATTAATGACTTCTATGACACTGTTCCAGGTCACTTTGGGTGTACAACGAACGGGTACTCATGAGAGCTTTCAAGAGAAACAAAGCTTTCTTGCTCCCCTTAAGTGTTTGCACCCTCTTGATTTACACACTACAAGCCACCTTTTCATGCACCATACTAACATGTTAACTTTTTGTAGGGCTAAATATGTATGGCTGAGGCTCATGAGAATCACTCACTTTTTTTAAGAGACCAAAATGTGATTTCTTAAACATAAGTCATGACAGGATAATCACAGTGATTGTCCAATTCATGGCAATCCATTCAGAAGTTATTTTCTTCAGAATATTAAAAGGTATTCATTGTTTAAAAAGAATGAGGCAAAAAATGGATTATGGGTCCCATAGATTGATTAAAACAGATTTAAAAGCACACCTCATGCTGATCAGGACGTCTCCATTCCTGAAGATGAAGAGCAGTATATTGTCTTGTGTGACATCATGAAAGTTTGCATTTTTTTCATTTGCAAAGAAAAGATCTGGTTTCCATAAACACTGGAACATTTTGGGATCAACAGTTAGTGCTTCACTCTTATAATCTGTAGGAAGCTGTAGACGAGGGTCATTCCATCTTTGTCGAAGAAATATATTTACTCTGTAGTCCTGCAAAGACAAATATTGTATTAATAATTTGCACTACATCAACTCCTACTTGTTATGGCTAATATTTAAAATGAAACATATTGTGAAACTTTTCTTTTTTTTATTCTGCTATTTTTCTTAAGTCTGGTCATACTTGTGCAATCCTATTTTTTTTCCATATGTCGCCAATAAACAGCTGTATCCTGAGTCAGGCTAAAACAGTAACATGTAGCAAGTGTCTCCTCAATTCTTCAGTATTAATAATACTAATGTAGTTATGGTGATTCATTCATTTAACAGAATACAGTGAATGACTATCATTAATGCAATGCGTATTTGTAAAAATATACAATCTGCATCTTTATCTTATCTGCATCTCTCCAACATTTAGTAGTTTGAGCCAAATTCCATTAATCTAATATGCATTGTTTGTAGCTGTATTACCATAGTCGTCTCCTGGATAGACCCAAAGCTGTTAATGAAGATGTTCACTCTGGACTCAACTGGGATACCTGAGATATAGACACAAGGATACAAAGCAATATAAAGTAAGATGATTCTAAAAGAAGGGAGTGCATACTGAATAAATTAGTAAACATGCTTTTACTGGTCAGCAAGTTACCCCATGTGATCATGCAAACACAGGTAAACACAAAACAAAACAAAAAAACTGTGCATTTTTATAACTTTAAAAAATGATTTTTTTGTCTTTTGCATTGGTACCAAACAGTACACCTACACTGGAATTTTACATAAGATTCAGCCTTTTTTGAAATAAGAAGACACAGCACAGCAATAAATACCCAGCCAGCTGTCAGCTAACAGTCCCTCCTCCTTCCCTTTGGGCTTATCTATTTTCTACTACAAGCACACCCCTTTCACTCAATTGTGGTGACACTTTAAAAAAAAAAAAAAAAGCCTCAGTATTATTGTGAAGTCTTTGCCTTATAATATAAAGCCCATTGAGGCCACTGTTTTGATTTGGTGCTAAATAAATAAAACTGAACTGAATTTCACATTGATATGAAAGCTTTCATTGTAAACCTCTTCACCCATTAAAAAATGAAAATTTAAAAATAAATGAAGTCAGTTTGACAATTCAGACATTTTATACTGCTAAACTACACCAAAACTATTTCCAGTAAACAGTTCTTCATGTAGCCATTTCAATCCAATCCAATAAATGCATACAATTCATAGAAAAATAATATTCTTGTACACAAGCTTTCACATGTATCTCAAACAGATGTTGTTTGGGATCTGGTTTCTGAGAGTGGTAGAACAAATTTTTTCATTTAGCATTATGAGACTTATGAGTATGTCCTTCATTTTTTCTGTTAGGTTGCAGCTTAATATTTTCACTAATTCTCTAGATTTATTTAAACTGTTATATTGTGTATAAAGTCTTAAGTGACCTATAATTTCTCTATAATATTTCTCTGCACTGCATGAGTGTCTGTGTATATATATGTATGTATTAGGGCTGCACGATTTTGCATAAAATGAGAATCACGATTTTTTGGCTTAGAATTGAGATCACGATTTTCTTTTCCAGTATAAATATTTATTGCACTTATTAACTGCACATCAACTTCGTAACAGTTGAGACTGAACATAAAAACAACAAATAAACATAAAAACAACAAATGTCTCACATTTTGTTGTTGCCGCAAAATGTTGTACTGCTTGAAATTCCGTCTCCACCGTTGCTCGACACTGCGTGTATAGAGCAGGTAGTGCAACAATAGAAAAATAGTTGCGGGACGGCACTGTGTAGCGTTTAGAATAGAATAGAATAGAATTCATCTTTATTGTCATTGCAGGTACAGGGCAACGAAATGCAGTTTGCATCCATCCAGAAGTGCTTTAGTGATATAGATATATTACAATATATATTAGCAATAATATAGATATGTAAATATATTACAGAAATGGGTCTATTATGGTATGTTATAATGTACACAGTATGAAGTATGTTGTGAATATTTTATAAGTATGTACAGGCTGTAGTGAGTACAAGCTATGTACAGGCTATGAACAGGATATAAATATGAAAAACTATACAGAATATGAAATAAATAACTTTACAGAAATCTGAGATATACAGTTATACAGAAATGGGAACTATGCAAGTTGTAAACAGTTGTAGGGTTAAAAATTATCGAATGTACAGAATGATTATTTACACAGAGCTATACAGTAGTGCAGTTAAGATAAGTGAGATATAATTCCTAAAGAGGCTATATAAAGTGCTAGTGGTTGTGAGTGGTGGTTCAGTCCATGTTATTATTGTGTGTTTGAGGGTACAGTTGTCCATTGTGGGTGTGTGTCTGTCCAGTCCATGTGTTAACGTGGGTCAGATGTCAGGAGGCAGAGTTCAGGAGTCTGACAGCTGTGGGGAAGAAGCTGTTCCGGTACCTAGTGGTCTTAGTCCGGAGGCTCCTGTAGCGCCTCCCAGAGGGCAGGAGGGTGAAGAGTCCATGTGATGGGTGACTGGTGTCTTTGATGATTTTCCCAGCCCTTTTCAGACACCGCTTCCTGTAGATGTCTTTTATGGCATGAAGTGGTGCTCCGGCGATGCGCTGGGCAGTTTTCACGACCCTCTGCAACGCCTTCCGGTCCGAGGCAGAGCAGTTCCCGTACCAGACTGTTATACAGTTGGTCAGGATGCTCTCGATGGTGCAACGATAGAAGTTCACCAGGATGTCTGAGGACAGGTGGTTCTTCTAGGGTGTTGATCATTTTCCTAAATCCCTCGTTTTGCACAGTGTTGATGGGAGCCATATCGTTGGTCAGGTGATAAGTGATAGCCTCCGTAATTTCTTTGTGCCTGTGGGAGGTCGACGGGTATAGGGAAGCGCTGTATAAGGTTCCCGTTATTGATGTTTGGGTGGTTGACCGGGACGGATTTTCTCCTGTCACTTTCTCGTCATCCCTGACGTGCTCTCCGTTGTTTTTTCCTGCTAATTTTAGCATCACACGGCACAGCTTCTGTGTCACGTGGTATAAGGCTCCGTCCTTGTCATTTGTTGAGTAGGAAGAGTGAGCGCTTGTTTTCATGCAGAGTACGTCCCGGATCAAAATGCGGTACAATCGTCGTCGTCGTCTTTTTTTTTATTTTTTTAATCGTTGTCATTTGGAAATGAGATCGCACATAAGTATGAATCGAGATCGCGATTTTCTAACGATTAATCGTGCAGCCCTAGTATGTATGCATGTATGTATGTATGTATATACATATATATATATATATATATATATATATATAATATATATATATATATATATATATGTGTGTGTGTGTGTGTGTGTGTGTGTGTGTGTGTGTGTGTGTGTGTGTGTGTGTATTATTTGTTCATGCAATTTGTACTAATCTCTTGCACAATCTCAGTCACACTTTTACCTCTTTAACTTAAAAAATAAAAATTTGGTTATCATTCTCAGGGGGAGAAGCAAACAAAACACAACCCACATGTATTTAATGAAATTGGCAGACTTAACAATAGCAATTATGATGGACATGTACACTTGTGCATACTAATGTACTCATATAAAACTATTTGTATTATAAACCAATAAACTTTTTCACTAAAAATTGTGTTTGAAAACACCCATCTCCCTGTGCAGTAAGTAATACGTGAGAGGTATATGTAGTACTTAGTACTATAGTGTTATAATGATCACTTTTAGTATTATTGCATTAGTTGGCATATGTCAGCCCATCAGTTATTAGACCACAAATAATATCCCTGCAAAAACCTAATCTGCAAATCTTTAGTAACTCACTGTTATTCTGATTAACCATTTCCACTAAAGAAACAGAGCAAAACATTCCAGAGCAACCTGTGGCTGGTTTTTAAGTGTATGTTGAACAAGGCTCCCTCCCATTAACTCTGTCACCACCAGTGTTGGTCAAGTTACTTGAAAAGAGTAATCAGTAACTAATTACTGATTACCTCCCCAAAAAAATAATCCCATTACTTTACTGATTACTTATTTTCAAAAGTAATTAGTTACTTTTTAAAACATGATTGACACCCTAAATAGGTGATAAAGCAATAGATCTTTCAGCCCAATTCTACTTTTTCTGCATAATCCTTCATATAAAATGTAATCAAATAAAAATATCTCATTTTAAAACTTGTTTTATTAGTTTTAATCTTTTAACTTTATGCATCAAGCAAACATTATAAGCAACATTCTCTGACTGGAAGAAATTTGTTTAACATTTAAACCTATTTTCTGCATATTCCAGCACATAAAATAAAATCATTTTTTGTGTTTACCCTCACTCTTTCAAATAGATGCATGTAAAATAAATAAAATCAAAGACTGAGCGGTCCTGTTGCTCTATTTTCACCTGTATAGCAGGAGTGGGGCAGGCGGAGGCCGCAGCGGTCAGTGGAATGATACGGCAGTTTCTCTGTGAATTTCACATTCCAGTGGCAGCGTATTTGGTGCTTGCTTGGAAGTTTAGGGGTTTTTTTCGCTGTAAAAAGAAGTTTTCTTCCCACGCAGTGAGCAGCGGACGCTAATGTTTTTGTCACTTTTTACGGAATCAAACTCAAAGTAAGGTCAGTACTTCCACACTTTAAATGTTGCACACTCATACTCTCTCCCGCTCTTGTTATATTATCCATTTTTGATCTGCACACAGCTGTTGCCACGAACGTTGCACTCGCTTACCTCATTGACATGAGACACTCTCGCAAAAAAATCACGGTTTTAGTAACGCAGTAACGCAGCGTGCTTACGGGAAAGTAACAGTAATCTAATTACCTTTTTTGCAATGATAATCCCTTACTTGAAAAAAGTAATCGGATTACCCATCTCTGGTCACCACTGTCCCATTGATAGATAAATAAATAAATTAATTAAAAAAAACCCCACACTATTTTACTTGATTTGACTCATACTGTTCAATCTAAAATATCAAAAAACCAAGTAAAATTTAATGGAAGAAACAACACAACAAAAATAATCCTACTGATCTTTCCATCAGAAGCAAGAATTCTGTGGTGTTTTATGTTATTATTTAGAAATCACTCTATAGACTTTGACTGCCATAAGAAACATTGATGGGACCATGTTAAACAAATGGCCCTGACTGCCTTCTTTCACTTAATCATCACTAAATTTAGAAATATCCTGACTCCGTGATGCTGACAAATTAGTTCATGCATTTGTTTCTTACTGAATTATTGTGATTCCTTACTATATAGCGCTTGTATTAATGAGGACTCAAAAGTCTTATAGTATTATATCATCTCAATATATCATCCTGCTGTCAGACTAAATTAGGGATTATACTTTCTGTCTCCACTAAGGTCCGCTTGAGTTCCAGTGACGTAAATTATCATCATAAGACGATTAGTATGAGGATCCATGCAAACACAACTGCCTGTTTTTTGTGACCATGTGAACTCCTCCGCAGAAAATTTACATTTCAGTAAGTATGCATTCACTCAGAAGCAACTTTTAAGGTGGGATGTTTTGATGCATATCAATAGAAGAATTGTGATTGTTCAGTTGGCCTTAATCATTGTATTAGTGTTGTGTAAATGATGACAGGCGACATCAAAATGACAGAGCAAGCTGTGTTTTGGGATTTTTCTTTTGAAGACTTTGAAATTCATCTTCATGGCAAAAGTCTTTCTTTACATTTAATGAAATTTAGATTGAAAAATCTATATAAAATTTGCATAAGATGATACTTGTCAAGATGTTGTTGGTGTGTAGAGAATGCTGATTGGACTGAAAGACAATAACCTTTTCTTCCTCCACTGACGGTGCCATATTGACATATGACTTTATTCAACAGAAGATCAAGGAAGTTATGAAACTAGTTATAAAACAGCTAAAGCCTTCCTTCTCTTTGCTTATGTTTCACTGTCTTGCCCACCCCACCCAGATCACAAAAAACATTTTCTACATGCTGTCTACCAAAAGACACAACTCAGCAAGAAACATGTATATTCCTCCCACTGACCTGCCCAACTCTATCCATTATCAGTATAATATTTTACTGCCAAAAAAACAGTAAAACAATCTCGTGAGCAATGTCATATCTAGATAACTAGAGCAGAAATTGCCAGGCTGTAAATACTGTTGAACAGCTAGCAATGCATACACATATTCTAGAGTACTTTAAGTATAAGTAGTTTGATAGCATCTCTTCTTTTCTGTATCCATCTTTCAAAGCTTGTCTTTAGCCTCCCTCCTTTTCTGGCCCTATTTAATGATTTGCTTGCACGAACAGAGCTGCTAATGTTAAAGTCATATCCTGCATTCTTCACTGGCTCGTGTCTTTATCAGTAGTGGCTTTCAAAGGGTAGACTTACTCATAGCAGTGACAGGACATTCGCTCTCCCTACCCCCACCCCTTTTCAGTGAGTGCTTGAATTACAGTGCCTGATAGGAAAGCTGTCACTCGAGCAAGGATTTTCTTTTTAGCCACTATTTCATTTTCTCCCACTCTGAAAATGCATTCCTTATTGCTAGTAATGGTGTTTGGTGGTTGATTTTATACACCTGTGGCAATGTGGCTACACCATCTCTGAATCGAGGAGGGGGTCAAAGGGTACATCTGTCACCATCTCACAATGCTGTGATTGCAGCCATTCCCCAACTCTCTGTGAATGGTACTCATGGCCATTGATCAGTGGTCTTTGATCAATGGTCATGACAATTTCCATATTAATGAAGAAACTGACCTCAAAGCCCATTGTTTGCCAGTGGTGGTAGTTTCAGTCATTGTGCAAATGTACTGTTTATAAGGTTGGAAACCTGCAGTCAGCTGAGATTGAAGAAGTCAGTTGGATGAGTGATGAAACGTTTCTCCCACTGAAAAATCCATGCCCATGTGAACAGAATCAACTTTTTGGGATTTACTTGCCTGATTGAGCATGCATCAAGACAAGGCTGACATGGTTTGGGCATGTACAGAGAAGAGATAGTGGATGGAAGGAAGGAACAAAAGAAAGAGACCTCAGAGGAGGCTCATGGATTCATACAGAGGGCTGATGTGACAGAGGAAGATGCAGAGATAGGATAAAATGCAAGATGATCTGCAGTGGTGACCCCTATAGGAAAAAGCTGAAAGATGTTTGCACTATGAATAGTTGAAAGTGTTGAACTTTTTTCTTTTTTTGATACTTTATTTTTATGGTTTTTTTAAACATTATACAGGGGAGATAGAAAGTATCAACAAAACAGAACATAAAAAGATAAAGAAAAAAATGAATAAAATAAAATAATAATTTAAAAAGAATGGACTGGAAAAAAATTGACTTTTTCCTATAAATTAAAGTAAAACTTTTTTTCACAGAACTGTTGGACATCATAACAATTTAAGTTCAATGGTAAATTTCATATCCAACTTTTTTTCTGCTTTGTTTTTTAATATACAGGGTGGGCCATTTATATGGATACACGGTAATAACATGGGAATGGTTGGTGATATTAAAGTCCTGTTTGTGGCACATTAGTATATGTGAGGGGGCAAACTCCTCAAGATGGGTGGTGACCAGTGTTGGTCAAGTTACTTGAAAAAAGTAATCAGTAACTAATTACTTATTACTTCCCCCAGAAAAGAATTCCCGTTACTTTACTGATTACTTATTTTCAAAAGTAATTAATTACTTAGTTACTTAGTTACTTTTTAAAAACACGATTTACAACCTGAATAGGTGATAAAGCGATAGATCTTTCAGCCCAATTCTACTTTTTCTACATAATCCATCATACAAAATGTAATCAAATGGAAAAGTCTCTTTTTTTAACTTGTTTTATCAGTTTTAATCTTTTAACTTTATGCATCAAGCAAAAATTTAATTATATGCAACATTCTCTGACTTGAATAAATTAGTTTAACATTTAAACCTATTTTCTACACATTCCAGCACATAAAATAAAATATTTTTTGTGTTTACACTCACTCTTTCAAATAGATGCAAGTAAAACACAGCAGAAAATAAATAAAGTCAAAGACTCAGTGGTCCTGTTGCTCTATTTTCACCTGTAAAGCAGGACTGCGGTAGGTGGAGGTTTACCCTGGTGCAGGTGTGCCGCGGTCAGTTGAAGAATCCGCGAGTTTCTCTGTGAATTTCCCATTACGTCGTTGCGTATTTTGGGAAATGTGTTTTGACTTGATGAAAAGACAAATGTAATTCTGCATGGTGGTTGTATACACTGGAACTTTACCTTGAAAGTTAGGTCTTATTCTTGGGTCATAACTGACCATCAGACGATTCAAAATGTTGGAGGTAGAGTTAGCTGGAACCTGTGCCAAATCTTCTGGAGACAACTGCCTGTTAAAGAGGATGATATTGGACAATAATTAATATGATTTGAGCAGATGACAGATAAAAGTAATGTAAATAAAATAATTTAAATCTAAAATACTAAAAGTGTTAGAAATGATGGTTTCTTGATGGATACATATGACTTCATACTTCTGGGGGTGCCACAAGCAGGCAGCGGCTGATAGTGCTCCGGCTAATTCAGTGTCCTTGTAATCTGTAAGCTGAGGACCACCAGGTTCAGTATTTTAAAGTTACATATAACACGTTCACTCATCGATTCAGACAAGTACTTTTTCTGTGCTTAACCCTTTAAGACCTACCACAGAACCAAGTCCGCCAGAGCTTATATTATATTTTTACATGGTGTGGAGCCATTTTTGGGAGCATTTCAAGTTGCTATACATCAATACAACAATTATAGCCCAGATTTTAATAATATGTATTCATTAAGTGCATAGTAATTACATAAATTGCAAAAAAGTGCAATAAACTACAAAAAAATTTAAAATCATTTTTGCTTTTTTAACATATATTTCTAGTTAGAGAAATTTGAGAGGCTTATCCCTCAAAACTGTAAATACAAAAAAGTTGCACGAAATAGTTTCCCACCACAGGAAATTTATTTTAAGTGTCTTCATACTTTTATTTTTGAAATACACCAATTTTTATATACTGCAGGAAAAACGAAAATAAATATTATACTGCAAATTTGCAAAAAAGCAGCATATGCATCAAAATAAACTATTTCCAGCAGTGCAATATGAGTCCTAAGCTTCCCAGAAAAGACACAGAAAGTCATAAAGTCAAAGATAACTTTTAAAAACACCAGTATAGGCCCTGAGGCCCTGATGGTAAAAAAAACTACATTTCCGCGAAAATTACATCACCTCCCGTTATGGGCAGGTAATGGCGGACATGCAAAAGTTCGCGCTGACGTCTATTCCAACGTAGGAAGTGTTATGAACAGCTGATCGGATCGGCAAAGTGTGTTTCTGGAATATTATGTTTTTGTTGCTGCAAGTGCTTTTTATGCTGTTTTTGCAAAGCTATATGTGGAAGGAAACTGTGACCTAGGACAAGCTGATGGCATAAGATGTAAGTACAACTCCTCCGGTTTCATATGCAAAAACAATTATTGCGCTAGCTTACGTGGCTGCAGAGCTACCAGGATTTAAAAATAGTTACGCAAAACAGAGCATGCCCGCTCCGACCGGCTCTAAAGGGTTAAGTGCTTTCTAGCTAACATTCATACTCTGATTAATGCATTGTGACGCAACTTGGGGTTAGTATTTACCAGACAAAAAAACAGTCAGGGGTTAAACCACCAACATTCCAATTAGTGGATGACCTGCTCTGCCATCTGAGCTACAGCCACCCCTGTCCTAATGGTCTGAGTGCATGTGATATACACTGTGAAAACCCAGACAGAGCATACTGCATCCTGGCAGTGAGCTACCTCCTGGTCCACCAGTGGGAAGTGACTGTAGCTCCATAAACTGAGATAAGTTGAAGTCAGATAGAGTCTTTGACAGAATGCAGGGTTAGAATGGGGGTCCCTCTGCTCTTGAAGGGGCTCTTTGGAACTGAGAACTCTGTCCCACCTGAGTGGAACATTGTTTTTCTGCAGGGAGAAGAATAGATGGCAGTGTGTCAACTCCCTGGATGAAAAAAGGCTGACCTCTGCCCTTCCAAAGTGACTACCTGAGGACTGAGTCTCCACTCTCGAGGACTCAGGCCCCCTCTCAACATGTCTGCCACCACATGCAAGGGCCCTGGCACATGAACTGCTCTGAGTGAGTGGAAGAGGGGGTGAGTCAACTGCCACAACCCAGTTGATACCTTGCAGAAGAAGGGAGATCCTAGGCCCCCCTGGACCTGACCCTTCTTGAGCCCCTAGTGCATCTGGACAGGCTACTTTGCATCTCCTCTGTCAAGTCTTCCAAGTCTGCTGCAATAGTTGGCCTCCTACTGGGCCAACATATCTGAAGGGTTAACTGGCAGTTCAGCATTAGTTAGAAAGCCATCTATAACCTTGCAGTTCCTGCTGCCGCAGGTGGCTTTGCTGAGACAGGCTGAGAAATGTTCTTGGTCGTGCATGTTAGCAAACCTCTCCTACATAGAGAGGACCATCTGTGCAAAACAGTGGGTGATTCATATTGTCTTCACACCAGGTATTTTAAGTCAGGCAGAGGCTGCAACTCCATCTGCAAGGGTCGACACTGTGTGGGTTCCTCAAACTCAGATGTGAATGCCACAGAGTTCTCAGGTTAAAATCCAGGGCCCTGGTTGCCCTACCATTAACCTCAGAGACAACTGCGAGGTGAGCGTGTGAGCATATAAATATATCTGCAAGCAATGCACTGGCTAGGGATCACAACCAGAATCAGAACAGAAAACAAAATGAAATAGTAATCCTGGATGCAGATTCATTAAGTATTGTGATGAATCTAAATACAGATGTGGAGTTGAAGCACTGGTCCTGTGATGCAGTCAAAACAACATGGACCTGAATACTCTCAAAAGCCCAGATAGGTTTGCAGAAAAAATATCATTAGTACTTGCTCTCGATTCAGGATTTGTAGAAATCTGAAGTCAGGAAACGACAAGACAACAGTGCAGACCCATCACACCCTGGTCACAGACTGTTCCAATTTTTCTCCTATGCTAGGTGCTGTTGAAGCACTGTATGCCAATACAGACAGACAAGCAGATATCTGTTCTGTTCTTTCTACTGGCCATACTCACATAATATCTGTACTGAAATAACATCCATGATGCTAACCAAAGCATGTTGTTTGTTCACACACTCACACATATATATCAGAGGCTTGGGAGCTTGAGAGTCCTACGCAGTATTGCTGCTGTTCCTAGGACTGCGCTGTTCTGGAAAGAGATCTTGGATGTGGTTCATCTATCACTATGGCTGTCTTCCTCTGCTTGTCCACCACTACTATGTCCGGTTGGTTAGCCATCAACAGGTTGTCTGTCTGTATCTGTGAGGAAACAGTTTAAGAGCCTGAATGCTCGTAAAGCTCCCAGCCCAGATGGTGTGTCTCCTGCCACTCTCAGACACTGTGCAAACGAGCTGCCCCCAGTGTTTTCTGGCATTTTCAAATCCTCACTGCAGACATGTCATGTGCCTGCCTGCTTCAAGTCCTCCACCATAGTCCCTGTCCCCAAGAAGCCAAGGATCACTGGTCTAAATGACTACAGACCTGTGGCTCTGGTCATAAAGTCTTTTGAGCGCCTGGTTCTCTCCTATCTCAAGACACTCAAGGCCCCCCTCCTGGACCCTCTGCAGTTTGCATACAGAGCAAACAGGTCTGCAGATGATGCTTCTGCCTTCAACACCATCATTCCAGACCTTCTCCGAGGGAATATGCCTGATCCCATCTGCCGGTGGATCACTGACTTCCTGACAGACAGGAAGCAACATGTGAGGCTGGGGAAGAATGTCCTGGATTCCCAGACAATCAGCACCGGCTCCCCTCAGAGCTGTGTTCTTTCTCCTCTGCTTTTCTCCCTGTAGACCAACTAGTGCACCTCCAACCACCAGCCTGTCAAGATAATTAAGTTTGCAGATGACACCACAGTTATCAGACTCATCTCGGACGGGGATGAGTCTGCCTACAGGATGGAGGCTGAACTCGGGTGTCCTGGTGAGGCCGCAACAACCTGGTGCTGAATGCCGAGAAGACAGTGGAGATTATTGTGGACTTCAGGAAGCAAACATCCCGACTCCTCCCCATCATCCTGACTGACACCCTCATCACCACTATGGACACATTCTGCTTTGTGGGTACCATCATCACCCAGGACCTCAAGTGGGAGCCCACCATTCCCTCCGTCATAAAGAAGGCCCAGCAGAGGATGTATGTCCTGAGGCTGTCAGGGTCCTGGGTATCCTGACCCAGCATGTTTAGTTCTTTGTGATTTTTGTATTATTGTACTTGTGTGAGTTATTCTATGGTTTCTAGTTTCGATCCCTTGCCCTTCATGTTTCTCTGTGTCCCCTCTGTTCTGTGTAAGTCTGTGTCTGCATGTTTGAGTTTCCCTCTGTGTCTTTCGGTTCTTAGAGTCCTCTGCCTTATGGTTTATGTCTCTGTGTTTTTTAGTTGCTGTCTCCACCGTGTCAAGTTCGCGTCTGTGTTTGATACTTCCGTTTTACTTTGTAGGTCCGTGTCTTATGTGAATGCGTCCTGCTTTGCTTGTCTCGTCAGTCCTGATTTCTCCCAGCTGTGCCCTCCTTCTGTGTCTCATTCCCCTCGTTACTTCCCAGTGTATTTAAACCCTGTGTACCCTGAGTTCTTTGTGTTTAAACCTCGTGCCTGAGTGCCTGCATTTTGGGTCCAACCCCTGCCTGCCATACGAACAGTCTCTTCCCCTCTGCTGTTGGACTCATGAACAATAACCATAAGACTGTTCCCACCACTTGCTCAAACACATGACCCTGTATTGTGTTCTCTGTACCTGTTCCATTTTTGCACTGATCATCACCTGCATTCATGTATATATCAACCTGCTTAGCACTTTTTATTTTTATTTAAATGTTTCTCTTATCATATGTCTCGCACAAAGTACCGCAGCAATTTCCTAATGTTGTAAATCTGCTCAGATCTACTCACTCAGTTCAATTCACCTCAATTCAATTCAATTTTATTCATAGAGCATGAAATCACAACAACAGTCAGCTCGAGGTGCCTTATATAGTAAGGTAGATGCTACAATAATACATACAGAGAAAAACCCAATAATCATAAGACCTCCAATGAACATCTGCTTAGGCTTGTGTGTATTATATATATATATATATATATATATATATATATATATATGCATGTATGTATATGTGTAAAAATAAAAAAAATATATATATATATACATATACACGTGTGTGTGTATATGTATATATATATGTATATATATATATACATATAAAGTTTTTGTTTGCTACATGGATCATTTTAATTCATGTTGGTGTCTTTCCTTTCGTTATATTTCTTAAA